CCCCAATTTGAATTTCCATCAATTCCCCGTGGGGCTCGAGGTCACTCCCCCTCGGCCTTTTCTCGCTCGTCATTGGTTTTTTGCCTTCTTTGATTTCGGCACGCTGATTGGTTTTGACTGCGATTTGGTAGCATGTTCTCGACAACTTTTGATCTCCTCGAGCTTCTCCCACTCGATCTTCTACTGGGAACTTCAGCTTCATGTGATAGGTTGACACAACTGCTTGAAACGCGTTGAGTGCGGGTCTCCCCAGAATCACGTTATAAGCCGACTCGACATCAACCACAACGAATCTCACCATTTTGACTTTCCTCAAGTTACCCTCCCCTAGGACGACAGCGAGCATGGTTTCTCCTAGGGGAGCGACTTCTGAGCCGTTGAATCCGAAGAGTGATGTGTGTAGGGGCGTCAGTTCAATGTCAAGCTCCATCCTTCTGAGGCAGTCGTAAAAAATCACGTTTACTGAACTCCCTGTGTCGACAAACACCCGTTGCACTTCGTATCCTGATATCTGTGCTGTTATCATCAGGGCGTCGTTATGCGGCCTCTCGACTTCACCGACATCTGCTGGTCCAAAGTTCATTACTGGTCCACTTTCCTCAACTTGTTGCACCTCGACCTTCGCATATCGGCCCCGAGCATAGGCCTTTCTCGCCCGATTCGAATCTCCATCAGTCGACCCTCCGAAGATCATGTTGATGACTCCTCTTTTTGGTGGGAGTTCTTCCTTTTCCGGCGATCTCGCCCTCTTGCGAGGACTCTTACTCCGTTCTCATCTCCTATTCGTCCTCTCCCGGTCCTTATATATAAACTCCTTCAGGTGACCCGCTTTTATCAACCTTTCAATCTCGTCTTTTAAGTGTCGACAGTCGTCAGTGTTGTGCCCATAGTCTTTGTGGAATCGGCAGTATAAGTTGCTTTTGGGCTTCAAAGGTCCATCTTTCCTCGTCCGCGGCCATCTCACCACATCGTCGCGGATTTCCCTCTCCATAACCTCCAAAATTCTCGCATGGGGAGCCGACAGGGGTGTATATTGAGTTGGTCTCCATCCTCTAGACCTGCCTTCACCTCTATCAGCTCTCGGGGACCCTCTCCTATCTCCTGTCGACTTCTTTTCCTTCCTATCGTCTCGATTGTCGGCTTGAGACACCTTCACGCTTTGCAAGTAATCGGCTTCGGCCTCCTCGACATTCATGTATTTGGCACATCTTCCCAGCACTTCGTCGAAACTCCTACCAGGTCGTTTGGCCAAGGAATTCTTACACAACCCTGGCAGCAGTCCTCTCGTCAACCCTCCCGACTTGATTTCCTCTGTCGCCGTTGGGCATTCGACGCAAGCCTTTGTAAATCTCGCCACATATTCTCGTAACGACTCGCCTTTCTTCTGTTGCATACTAATTAATGAGAGGTAAGATTTCTCCTGTACCCTCACACTTGCGAACTGGTTAAGAAAACTCGAGCTGAACCCATCAAAATCCCGAATCGACCCTGCTGGAAGTTGATGGAACCAATCTTGGGCCGACCCCGTCAAAGTCGTCAGGAAGGCGCGGCATTGCACTGGGTCGCTGTAACGATGAAGTACGGCCATATTCTCAAAGCTCCTCAAATGTCGAGATGGATCTGTGGTACCGTCATACCATATGTTTAGCTCCCTGAAGCCTTTGGGTAAGTCGGCTCTTAGGATCTGCTGTGAGAATGGGTGTTCTTTTGTTCCTCTACTCTTCTTCCCGTCGACTCGAGCTTGCAAGTCGCGAACCTGCGCCAGCAGCTGCTCTAACGTCTCGTCCCTCGCCTGTGGATTAACAGTTCGAATGGAGGATTCCTCTTCGTCTATCCTTCTGTTCTGTTGCACATTCGACTGGGCTTGTTGCTCGCCGCGCGGCTGCTGCTCGACTCGAGGGGGGTACTCGACGCGAGGCTGGTGCTCGACTCGAGGTGGGCACTCGACTCGGGGCTACTGTTCTACTGGCGCTATCTGCTTCATCTGGGCCGCCACGGCTTCAGCAATCATTATCTGCATTTCACTCCTCGTCATTGTCAGAGTCTGTTCCTCGGCGCGAGGTCGTGTCTGCTCCGGAATCTCCTGTATCTGTTTTCCCTCGCGTCGAGAGGCCTCCGTTGACTCCTTCTCTCCATCTGGGTTAGGGTTTTGACTTGTTCCTGCCTGAGTCAATACTTGTAACTTTACACCGGTTGGGGTCACAGGCGTTTCTCCGCCTAACGTCAGCCCGGGTGGTGGAAGTCCTCCGAACGGCAACGTTCCCGTCATCTAAACTATGGAGTGTTTGGTGGTGGGAAGTGGTGGTGGCCTCTTGTCCATCCACGTCCCTCTGAAGTCCTCGCTCAGGTTCCTCTGCAAGCTCTCCTTCTCCGCCATTGTCAAACAGATCGGAACTGGGTGTGAAGCTCTTCCTTCCTTTAAGAACTCCCCACAGACGGCGCCAAATGATGGGTCTACTTCTGGATCTGGAGTAAACCGGTGGTTGTGAGTTCAGATCTGCTTGAACCGCCTTGAAACCGTCTCTAGACCGCGAGAATATCTGCAAAAACTCAACGCCGGAAGTGTTTCCGGCGTAGAGCCTCCGACGCTCAAGTCAGTATCAAAGGGATGAAGAAGGGCTGCGCAGCAGCTATAGGGAAAGTGAGAATGAATGAGAGTTAGGGTTTAGGATTACCTCATCTCCTTTATATAGGAGTGAATACTTACGTGAAGTGCCCAAAGTACCCCAATCGGTGGACCTAGAAGGTCCAAAATGCCCTGGTCGATTCGTCTCCCCTTAGTGCTGAGTCACCACAAGATTCCTTCTTATCCTTCCTAATGTGGAGTGCATCGGATATGTTGCAAGTATGGTGAATCGTCATCGCATCTTTGTTATTTAAGGTATGTGAAGTCGACTTCGAGATCGAGGAAGTCGACTCGCGGACATATGCGGCTTCGGAGGCTACGATTGACTAGTTCTTTTAGGCGGAGTCGTCATCAGAGAGTCGTCTTAGTTCAGTCGACTTCTGGGAGTCGACTTAGAATATCTGGATGACCGGAAGCTTTGCTGTTCCTCTTTTCATTGGTGTCGACTAGTGAAAGTCGGTAGATTAAGGTTGACTTGCAAGAGTCGACTAGATCAATCTCGGCTTCTCCTTGATTGCTCTCAATAGAATCGACCTTCGGGAAGTCGATTTGGGCATGTCGACGGAGTCATGTCGACGTGTGAGTAATTCGAGTGGTTCGCCGGTTGAATAATAAGCTTATTCAACCGGGTTATTCTTATATGGCTATATCATGAGCCAACCTGTGTCGTTTGAACAGACGTCACCCATGTTCCCCATCAAATCCTAAAATTGGGAAAGAAGATGATGCAGACAGTGAGAATATGATTCCTGAGCAAGTGGATGCTCGATTTCATTTCTCATCTGTCTGTAATAGAATTTATCTGTAAAACTTCTCTGTTGTTTTGGTGGAGTTGCAGTTTAAGTAGATTGTGATGAAACACTTGTCATATTGCTTCATTTTCTTTATGACGAAATTAGTTTGTGATTTTCATTACATTTTTTTTCTNTCAAACGAACATTGATGGATTATAGTATACCCATGCCACTCTCTGGAAAACGAAACCGTTTTAACTTGCATACAGAAACAACGCACTCATGTTACTGTCGCATGAATGAACAATGTACTCTTTTGGCCGGCAAAATATTCTGTGTTCCAAAATGTGTTCCATCATTTTCATTCAATTGGATGAACGCCATGGGTGTAATATAATTTCTGTCCACTCGTTGATTCCCGTAATTACAATTTTTGAGTTTCTTGTAAATACTCCGTATGCTTTGTGCAACTGATAGAAGTAAAAAGTAAAAACAATATTGTGATCAAGTTCCTGCACTAAGTGGAATGTATTGCACTTGATTTAGTGCCAATGGCATGTTCAAGAGTAAGTTAAATCTTCCAACCTATCTGATAAATGCAATATATATTCAACTGCCTCAAAACTGGAGTAGAAATCCAGATCCAACTTCCTTATGTACTGGTATCCACACGAAGCACACGAACATGAAGGTTTGCTAAATTAGACAAAAAAGATTAAAAATCAAATGTAATTACACGAATCAAGAAAAGTCACGGTCTTCCTAATTCCCATACAAACCATTCTGCCTGAATACACATCGGCAATCAAAAAATCTGGTCCCCTCTTTTCCTTTTTCCTTTTCCTGACAGAATTGTCAAAGAAGGGGCCACATTACAGTAAGAAGACATAAAAATGAATGCTACCAGATTATTTTATCATTTTATACATGGTCTATTTTATGTCTTTGGGGACTCATAGCCAAAGAAGTCTGTTGGCCGAGTCTCGAGCACCGCGTGCAAGTGTTCAATGGCGATGACATGGGAGACGAACAGTCCTTCAAGTGATGAGCTGATGAATGTAATGGCGAATAGCATGTATGGAAAGCTCTTGATGGTGAGGCGGCTGGATTGGAGCTGGGGACTGTTTTCTTTGGTCTAGCTGGTGATTTTGGAGCTTCATATTTTGGTGTCTCTGGGCGAACGGTCTTTTTGGGAGCCCGTGATGGAGATGCCATGAAAGCCCGTGATGGGGAAGCCATGAAAGCACGCGATGCGGACGCAGCTGGGGAAAAGGTGGGTTTGGTTTTCTTCGTCTTGGCGGGCTCAGATTTTGCTGAGTCATTCTTTGGTTTCTCTGTGTAGAAAAAAAAAATTGAAGATTGATGAATTAGATACTATCACGTGTAGAAGCTAGAAGTGATTTAAGATAAAGAAAGTTCTTGGTGAATAAGTTGATTACTGCTCATTTATCTAAAAATGCAAACCCAAAACAAAAATCCAAGTGAGAATCCCTCTCCCTGCTTTTGGATTCAGGAACAAGAGAAAGGAGAAGAATTAGACAGAAAAAAGTGTAAGTGAAAAATTGACCATGAGTTTTCTTGATTTATAATTCCTTCAGTTTCTTGAGAAGCGTAGGATTCTTCTGCCTTCTGGACATTCATTACCTCCGGCTCAACTTTTTCTCGGTGGCTTCGGTAGAAGGATCTGCCACAGTCTTCTGGTTAGACTCACCATTATCCTGCAGAATTTTTTTCTCAGGTATCTCAGGCAATTTCGTGTGGCTCGAGCCACTTGAAAGCAACTTAACATTAGAGGACTCAGACGAACTCTGTTTCTGGTCGACAGCAATCGGTCTCAATGACTGCTTCACCTCCAAAATCTCACTCTTGTCCGATTTCTCCTCGTTCACATTTTTCGATGCCAATTTAAGTTGTTGCTCCTGAAGCAGCCGAGGACTGACCACCGGCCCATTCTCAGCCCCCTTTGGCCGCAAACCCACTTTATCCACTCCGGTTAAGTTCTAGTCGACTTTGCTCTCGACCGCGTGGTGAACTATGATCAGCGATTTTTGTTCCCTCACCAGAGTCACGCCTCTGGCCGCCATCCTCTGGTCTGCCACGACACTGAAGAACCTTTTCCAGGGGCTCTCAGACCCGATTGAGCGCTGGTCAAACTGGTGTATCTTGCGGTGCGGGTTCTTGGATATGACCGACTGGAGGTCGACGACCATGGCGGAGTTCTTGGTGTTGATAATCTCTGAACATGACAAACTGTTATGTTTTGTAATCTATATATATATATATATATATATATATATATATATATATATAGGGATTGGTTCCAATGCATCCCATTATTTAAAGTGAGAATGTGAGACTCATTCCTAGCCACAAGATTTAGATCTTGATTTAAATAATAATTTTTTATTTTTATTATTTAATTCTTTATTTTTAATTATTTAAATATTATTATGACCATTGACCGTTGACTCCGGCGTTGACCGTTGACTTCCGGCGTTGACTTCCGGCGAAAATCGTTGACTTCCGGCGTTGACCGTTGACTCCGGCGTTGCCTTCCGACGTTGACCGTTGACCATTTGTTTTTTGTTATGTTATTTCTTTCTTGTTAGGTTAGTTGTTTGCTGTTGCTAGGTTAGTTATTTGTAGCTGCTATGTTCGTTGAGTTTTGTTGCTAGGTTATTTTTTTCTTGCTGCTAGGTTAGTTGTCTTTTGTTGCTAGGTTAGTTCTTTCTTGCTGCTAGGTTAGTTGTCTGATGCTGCTAGGTTAGTTGTCTTTTGTTGCTAGGTTATTTCTTTCTTGCTGATAGGTTAGTTGTGTTTTGTTGTCTCTTGCTGCTAGGTTAGTTGTCTTTTGTTGCTAGGTTATTTCTTTCTTGCTGCTAGGTTAGTTGTCTTTTGTTGCTAGGTTTTTTTTTTTTTTTTTTAAACAAACAACGCCCCGGAAGGGCGGGGGATTGGGCTGGATCCCCAACCTGTGCATAGATCAGGGCCCCAAAAACGGGAGCCCAATAATGTCAACGAACCAGATACAAAGGTCTACATAGTCTGAGAATCAAAACCAAAACCAAAAGAAAAACAAGAAAGAAAAAACCGAAAAACGAAAAAGAAACAAAAAACTACAATATAAAGTCGATCTTCGGGCTAACAGATGCCCGAGATAAATGTCTATACTAATGAAAATAGAAATCCTAAACTAGTGAAAGCGGAACGCTGGATATCCAAGCTGGTCCATCCGTACAAGAGTGCGAAGGCGGAGTGGAGCAGTGTCGGTCTGGAATGTATGTGTGCCTGGTATGGTGGCGCCAAGGCTGGCCAGGTAATCAGCCGGTCTGTTCCCCTCACGGAAAATGTGCGTGATCCTGTGATGGACTGACCGAAGTAGATCTCTAATGCGCATAAGCGGGTGCTGAATCTGCCACGAGCCCTGATGGCCCGAAGTCAGGAGGGTGGCGACAGCCGCAGCATCCAGCTCGATCCATATATGACTAGAGAGGTGGACAGCAATCTGAAGGCCAATCTGTAGTGCCTGAATCTCTGCATCGTAGCTCGAGGAGGCCTGAATGGACGCGTGGAAGGCGGTGATGAGGGCGCCGCTATGGTCCCGAATCAAGCCTCCTCCTCCGGCAACTCCAGTGTGGCGATCAAAGGAGCCATCAGTGTTCAGCTTGACCCACGGAGAGTCAGGTCGAAGCCAAACAACAGCTCTGGCCCGAGGAGGCCGAACAGGCGGTGGTGGGGCCACCATGTAGCGATGCGGTGGCGTGCAGCCTGTCCAGTCTCGGGCCGTGAGCCTGCCCAATGAGATGAGGAGTGAAATGTGTCTCTCAACCTGCAAAACAATGTGAGAAAACATAAAAGTAATATCCCTATGCTTCGCACTATTCCTTTCTGTCCAGGTGAACCAAAGGATCAGACAAGGAATGAGGAAGCCCACGTGTCTAAGGTGTGTGCTCTGTGAGAAAAAACTCAGGAGCTCAAAAAAACTGTATGTGGTGGGTAGGGATATATGAGTCCAAGTGGCAAAATGCTCCCACACTCTCCTCACAATCTCACTCTCTAGAAAAAGGTGGGTAAAGGTCTCAGTCTCATGGCGTCCAGTCTCAGAACAACACACACACCGAGAGGGGAAGGAGATCCCCCTCGCGTGTAGCACAGTATCGACGGGTATCCGGCGCAAGAGAAGGCGCCAAAGGAATACCGAAATAGTAGGCGTAAAAAGGTCACTCCAGATAGCCCCGAAGAGGAGATTAGGCCGATCCCTCAGCCTTATCTGCTCCCAAGCCGAGGTAGTAGAAAACACACCTGATGATGTAAGTCTCCACCTCATGCTATCTGAACCGTCCCCCGAGATAGGGATCTGCTGGATCTGATCTAATAACTGCTCGCTAAAACCCGCACCAGCCCCCAACTCCCTATCAAGCTTCCCCCTATCCCACGACCCGTCCGTCCAGAGGTCGCTCACGAGCAGGTAGGGGGAATGCGACACCTGCCTATCCCTAGACAACGGCCTATCACCTACCCACCACTCATCCCAGACACTGACATCGCCCCCGCCCAAAACCCAAAAGATGTGATCCTGGGCTCGCCTCCCGACCCTAGTGAGGCGCCGCCACTGTCTGCTATCATGATCAACAGCCGTGACCCAACAAGGGTGGTTGGCACGTCTAGGGCAGTACTTGCCGCGAAGGTACTGAGCCCAAAGCGACTTTCCTTCCCTGAAGCGCCACCACAGCTTGTATGAGAAAGCTGTAACAATGTCCCTAAGGCGGCGGATGCCAAGGCCACCCTCTGGGAGGGGGCGGCAGATAGAGTCCCAACTCACCCAGTGAGTACGTCTCCCCCTCCCAGACCCGTCCTCATAACCCCAGAAATAACGAGCCATAATCTGGTCAAGCTCGTCAAGAGTAGACCTAGGGGGGTCGAGGACCATAAGCAAGTGAATCGGAAGAGAGCTAAGAGTGCTCTTGATCAGCGCTAGCCGACCACCGAAAGAAAGATATCTATGCGACCAACCAGAGATCCTGTCGATCATCCTCTGTCTGACGCCCGCAAAGAGCGCTCTCGTGAGGTTGCCCTTATATAAAGGGACCCCGAGGTAGGTAATGGGAAGGTCGCCACGCGCAAAGCCAGTAATGTCGTGGACCCGCTGAGCCCACCTGTCCACGGTGGCAGATGAAAGGATGAAGGTGCTCTTCTGCACACTGACCAGCTGACCGGTGACCAAGCCATAGTGCTCCAAAAGGCGCATAAGCTCGACCAGTCCATCATCATCCGCCCGGGTGAAGATAATGATGTCATCCGCGTAAGAGAGGTGAGAGACGGTAGGACCATAGCCACAGGTGCTATAGGTCATATGGGGAGAGTCGCGGATGAAGCCGTCAAGGCAGCGAGAGAGGTAGTCCGCCGCAAGAACGAAGAGGGAAGGGGAAAGGGGGTCGCCCTGTCTAAGGCCTCTAGAGGAGGGAAAGAAATCGGTGGGGCTGCCATTAATCAGGACCGAGAACGTGCAATGCTCCACACACGCCTCCACAAAGCTGATCCAACGCTCAGGGAATCCCATCCTAGCCAACGCCTCCCTAAGAAACGGCCACTCAACCCTATCATACGCCTTAGCCATGTCTAGCTTCAGCGCGATATTCGGAGCCCGCTTCCAGTCCGCTCGGGAGATGTCGTGGATCATCTCCTGGGCCAGAAGGATGTTATCACTAATGACCCGATCCTTGACGAATCCACTCTGGTTCGGAGAGATGAGAGAGGGGAGAAGAGGGGAAAGACGGCCGTTAAGAATCTTCGAAATGAGCTTGTTGGTCACGTTACACAGGCTGATGGGCCTGTAATCGGACCAAGAGCTCGGGTTGGGTCGTTTGGGGATCAAGACGACAGAGGTAGACGTGAAGGAATCCGGCATCCGGTGGCCGGAGAAAAAATCCAACATCGCCTCCTGGACGTCAGTCTCGACAATATCCCAGCAGACCTGATAGAAGAGGGAGGAGAAACCATCCGGGCCAGAAACGCTGTTGGGATCAATCCCGAATACAGCATCCCTAACCTCCTCCCTGCTCGGGAGCTCACAGAGGCCAATGAGATCGACCGAAGGAGGGATGGTGGGGAAAAAAGAAGCGTTCGGGGCCACGAGGGACCCTCTGTCAGAGGTGAAGAGGGTCTGGAAGTGAGCAACAGCCGACTCCCGAATCTGAGCCTCCTGGGTCAAGGATGACCCATCAGCCTCGATACTATGGATGTACGACTTAGCACGCTTCTGCCTAACGTAGCCCTGGAAGAACCTAGTGTTCCGTTCGCCCTCGGCCACCCAGCGAACGGCCGCCTTCTGCTTCCAGAAGTCCTCCTCCATAAGGAGTCGGAGCTGGTACTCGGCGTGGCAGCGGTGCATGGCGGTCCTATTCTCCGGAGTGGGATCCAGGTCATAGGCCCGCTCAGCCGACGCATGCGCACTCTGAGCTGCAGTAAGGCGGTGATGAAGGTTTCCAAAAACATCCCAGTTCCACTGTCTCAACCGACGCCGCAGTCTGCCGAGCTTCGCCTCGAGATTGCGCATCCCGAAGAGCCCAGTCGGCTGAAGCCAGGAATCCCTGACAGTGTCGTGGAAGGAGTGGTGGCGAACCCACATGTTTTGGAACCTAAAGGAAGCGCGGCGAGGAGTGCTCGAAAAACGACATCTAATGAGGAGGGGTGAATGGTCGGACCCAAATCGAGTGAGGTGCGTGACGGTCGTGACCGCAAACACCTTCGACCACGCTTCAAAAATCAAAGCACGGTCAAGCCTCTCCTTGAGATCGTCCCTAACCCATGTGAAGGGCTCACCCTCGCATCCAGCGTCAAGCAACTCACAGTCCGCCACAGTCTGTGCAAAATCCCACATCTCTCGTGATCTGTCCGTGCGGCCACCCACGCGCTCATCGGGGTGCAGAAAGATGTTGAAATCGCCACTAACCATCCATGGCAATCCCTCCATACTCTCGGCAATCTCACGCAGGGTGCCCCAAAGATCATATCGCCCGACCCTAGTACACTTGGCATAGACCAAGGTGTGATAGATGGGCTCCGGGAGGTGGGCAGCGGAGAGCTCAACGTGAAGCACCTGATCAGTGTCACGGAGGACCCGACAAGTGTAATCACGCGAGTGAAAAAGGAAGATCTTATGCGACATATTACCGACGCCCGAGTGAAAACCAAAGCGACGCGAGTAGTA